ATTTGAGCAGTAGATTGGATTAAAATCAAGTGCAAATCCGACACATAAGATGACATTGACAGTTGATTATGGTTTGGATAAGATAATTAATGTCTAATTAACAGTTTATATAAAGAAAGACCTGCAATAGGAAGATTTAGCTCTTGCATAATGTATCTTTAACAGATAACTCTAATGCTCTTCATATATATATGAAGCAACCTGGTTAACAATTTCGTTTGTGGGGATTTAAAACATTAAACATAGTGCATGGCATGTACGGATTGCTTTTGAAAATTGGCGTAAAGATTGTTATATTTATTACAGTCAAATATGAAATGGTATTCGTCTTCTATTTGATTATTATTACATTGTTTACATAAACGTGCATGTGGCGGAATATTTTCATAACTACCTAGCTCTGTCTCCAGATGGTGTGTGCTAAGCCTAATCGAACTTTATGGGCCTTTGATTTAAAGGAATGCAGATAGATGGTATCGCATAAAAACCTGGATAAATAAGTATCATTATTGTGAGGTAGGCTTTAATGTTTTTTGAGCATGTATAATTGTATATTATTTATATATAGCTTTCTAAATGCGCTATTGTTGAAACCATTATATCAACATGCTTGTTTTTTTAACAATCTGTAAAGGTCCGTAAGGTCAGGTGTCCATGTGTGCGTTTTTGCGTCGTTTTCGCGCGTGTTTTCGCCGGCGAAAAAGTTGGTCTAATGCAAATGTAAAGAACCGTTTCCGTGTAACAGGCGAAATCTTCCTATTGTAGGTCTTTCTTTGGGCTTGAAATGTTATATAAACTATTAATTAGACATTAATTATCAAGGCCATAATCAACTTTCGATGGCATCGCTGGGTTAGGTTCCGATTTGCTGTTCGATTTCCATTCATAATTTTAAACAAAAATGGATAATCGAGACTATGTTTTTTATCCTACCGACTTTAGTAATGATGATCGAGGATAGCCCCAATATTCAATCTCTAAAATCTCGGTTCAGAGAGGATCAATTTGACTGAAATTTTCAGCAAATTCCCTTTACATTATCTAGATTTTAACTGTTATAGTGAGAACTGCCAGCTCTTTATCTAATCTCCCATAATGTATCTTTAAGCTTGGTTTGTTCTGTGGAGTACCATTTGAAACACATTGTCTTTTTCAATCAATCACCCAATATCACCCAGTATCTCTTCCACTCTTAATTAGCGTGGACTAGTGTCGATTTTATTGCCAAATCTAAACAGTTGATTTGGAAAGACAAATTAAAACTAAACATAAATAATTCGAATATTTAATCCCCAGATATATTACTGCTTTTAGACATAAAGTTTCCAGGAGTGAATTGAGACGTCATATGTACATCCTCAATACCAAAATATCTGGAAATATCATAAGTTTCAAGGATATTTATTGGTTTGTATTCGCTAGTTTCCTTATAAAACCTAAAACTTTAACCCAATCATGTCAGTTAATAAATTATAAATTATGCGCTTGAAAATAATGACCGAGTGATCTAGCTTGGACGGTTTGTCCTTGAGTCGAGTGATAAGGCGTAGGGTCGCCCGTCTAACATCGTGGGTTTTTCCGGTTCCTCTGGGTTCCGCTTCCTACTAAAGACTCCTACACACAATCGAATTATTGAACTAAAACTGTAGAATATGTGGACGTTAAACCCCATCATCCTCTCTGACTAATGAAATGAAATGAGGTTTAACATCTTACTCATGTTCTGCTCTAACTGGACTAATGAGAGAGAGAAAGAGAGAGAGAGAGAGAGAGAGAGAGAGAAAGAGAGAGAGGGGGAGGGGTTTAACGTCCACTCGACACAAACTAGGTCATTTCGGGACTAACATATGGTTCAATTTTATTTCAATAATTGGCTTGCGCGTAGGGGTCTTTAGCAGTGGGAGGAAACCGGAGCACCCGGAGAAAAACCACCAGTTTGGACAGGCGACCCTACTCCTTGTCACGTACAACCGGGGATTCGAAACCACGCCAGTTAACTCAATGATAGGCCTTTTGATACAGCGCGCACGTGCTAACCATTCGGCCACCCAAGCCCCCTAATGAAGACGGGCATACCCCATACAGTGCACTTTGAGGGTATTGTATCCGGGCAGCGGCACTATGGCCTACTCTTATATCGAATTCCAACTGCCAAGGGATATTTTACGTGCACGCCAATGTGTACGCGGGACTTCGGTTTTTCGTCTCACCCGAACGACTAGACGGTTGTCTTCCGTCCTGTACCACTGACAAGGGGAACCACAACGGAATATCCCAAGGAACAGCTAGAACAGTGGGACGTTAAACCCATTCCATTTCATTTCGATTGTCACGTGGACCGCATCGGGAATAAGTGGCGGAGGGGGATGTTAAAAGCTACAGGGCCCACGGCGGATTTCAGCCTAATTAGACGCACCACCTGTGGGTGAATATTTAAAACTGTACAAAATTCAAATAATTTGCCGAAGCTACACTAACTTTTTTTGTACTAAACTAAAAGATAATTATTTCCTTTTTCGTTTATTAAAATCCGCAATTTGATTGTTTTTAAACAAATCTCACAGCCTTTGATCCTTACAGATCAACTTTTTTTGCAGAGTTTTTTTAAGACTGGAAACGGAACAAAACAACATAATTACGTTCTTGTTTACGTTGATCAAACGTTTTTAAACATGAGACGATTGTTGGACTCTACTGACTGACACATAATGGACTTCATATTTCAAGTCAATTCACATCGACCGTTATAATGTTAAAAGGCGTTATTTCCGGTTACCTAAACTGGTCTCTCTAATCATTAAATATAAACATATATATACCATGTGTTCTGTTTGAACTGGGAGCCACGGCGGCTCAGTGAGTCAGACGTTGGCTCGGGCCTAGGGTTGGCCCCCGCGCCGTTGACCGAGAGAGAGAGAGAGAGAGAGAGAGGGGCGGGGAGGGGTAACACCACTCGACCCATCTAGGTCATTTTAGGACAAACATATGGCGGAAATCCACGAGGTTGGACAGAAATGAAATGAAATGAAATGAGGTTTAACGTCCTACTCTTCTGCACCTAACCTGGGCTAATTGAAGACGGGCATACGCCATACAATGTGCTATGAGGGAAATTTTGCCCGGGCAGCGGCGCTACGGCCTACTCTTATATCGAATTCCAACTGCCAAGGGATCTTTTACGTGCACGCCAATGTGTACACGGGACCTCGGTTTTTCGTCCCATCCGAACGACTAGGCAGCTGTCCTTGTCAGGCCCTCCGTTCTGCATCACTGACAAGGGGAAACCACGCCGGAAAATCGAGATGATCTTTCTCGGCCAATGCAGGGATCGAACACCCGACCTCCAGGCTAGCGAGCCAGCGCCTTACCCACTTAGCCACGTGATCCCCCGAGGTTGGACAGACTACGTCATTTGATTCAATTAAAAGGGGTCCCCCGGTTCCTCCCTCCTGCAAATTAATGTCCTTCAGAGCTAACTGCATGACGTATTCAATCTTTATTACTAACAAGGTCATTTCGGGACTAACATATGATTCAATTTAATTTCAATCACCCCCCTAATCGTAGGGGTCTTTAGCTGTGGGAGGTCATCGGGAGATCCGGAGAAAACCCACGAGATTGGTTGGACAGGCGACCTTACTACACGTACTTGTCACGTACAACCGGGTAATCTAAAAAAATGTGAGTTGACTTAATGACAGTCCTTAAGATACAACGCGCACGCGTTAACCATTCGCTCCCCCTCCCAACCAACACATAAGCCCAAGTCGAGTGGACAAGACACCATTTCTTTCTGTCTCTCACGAACAAACTCGACCGTTTAAAATGACAGGGGATGTTTGCGCTAACTAAGGTAATATTTAGTTAGGTTAGGACGCCAGAGTAAAATGACCAATATTTCGTCTATTTCTTCTATTTTTCTTAAACTTCAATACAAACAACATGGGTGACAAATATTTGTCATTTGTGTACAGGCAACGAGATCAAACCGCGGCGGTACTCCTGACACAGAACACAGTTATGTTTGTAGGAGCTTAGACATAATCTACGGAAGCCCGGTCGTGGGATAACGTGCGCGTCCTGTCAACCTATCCTCTCATACAAGTCCCGATATCCAGCATTCAACTCTGTCGTAGGCTCGGAGACCGCTAGCTCGGAGACGGTCCAGCACATTTTAGCTCATATGACGTCATAATTATGTGGATTGTGGGTTATGGTAGGGTAAGAGGAACTGTAGATTTCGTCAAAGTCTCGAGATATAAATAGGGCTAGCGCTAACTCTAACCCTAACCCAGGAATAAGCCTAGCCCTTACTTTAACACTAACGCACAATCCACATGTGACGTCATATGTGGAGGAGCGTCTCAGAACTAGCGTCCTCCCGTAGAATAGCGTTCTCTTTATCGACCTTGACCTAGGTGTCATCACTTGCTATGTATTAGTTTAACTAACATTCATATTTTGATTGTGTTTATTATAACCGAGCCATAAAGCCTTAATCCCCGCTATAATAAAAAAAAACACGTGGTTAAGTGACCGAGAGCTTTACAAACACATCTTTAAACCAAGATGTAGTAAAGTATCGAAAAATAAACTGTTGCTAAACTAAAATGTTACATTGATTCGTGCTTAATGCGGCGACGCTGTAAACTTGTATTTAAGTAGCTGGATTTATTCCCAACATCGTTAGATAAGAATGAAGGAGGGTTGGATAGCTGAATGGTTAGCGCGTGTGCGCTGCATCGTAAGGTCTGTCACTGAGTCAACTGGCGTGGTTTCGATTCTCCGGTTGTACGTGACAAGGAGTAGAGTCGCCTGCCCAACCTCGTGGGTTTTCCTCGGGTCCTCGGGTTCTCTCCCACTGATAAAGACCCCTACGCAAGCGCATTATTGAAATAAAATTGATCCATATGTTAGTCCTGAATTTGTGTCGAGTGGACTTTAAGCGTACAGTACTGGAATAGAATGATTGTGATATATCTGGTGTTCCATAGTTATATAGTAACACATGGATGTTGTTAGGTAGAGTTTGTCGGGTACCGGCTGTGTTGAGACTTTTCGTCCCACATAATGTCAGACATATAACAGATCAGGGATATAAATAACATCGTCATACAGGTAGGAAATCTTGCTTTTACAAACTTTATTATAAATTATTTAAATTATACGTTAATACAATATTCACATCTTCGTTTGCGTAATTGTTACACGCGAAACGAAACGCCGGACTTCTGACAATTTCCGATCGTCTGCTAATTGTTCGAGTGTGTAGGAAACTAGAATATACCCAAGTTATAAGATATTGTACAAACTAAACCAATGTCAAATGTTTCAAATGAGAGGATACGTCATTTTAAAATTCTCTTATATCAGAATCATGCTTCGTGTTACCAGTGTTTCAGGGCGGTGCCAGAACAATACAATCGTTTAATTGCAACCGAACATATATGTAAGCAAGGGTATTGAAGTTATCACAATATAAAACACGTCACATAAAAGAATACAGGGGTTGGATGGCCGAATGGTTAGCGTGTGCGCGTTGTATCATAAGGTCTGCCAATGCGTCAACTGGCGTTGTTTCGATTCCCCGATTGTACGTGACAGGGAGTAGGGTCGCCTGTCTAACCTCGTGGGTTTTCTCTGTGTCCTCCAGGTTTCTCCGATTGTTAAATACACATAAACGAATTATTGAAATAAAGTTGAACCATATGTTATTCTCTCCTTCTCTCTTCTCCTCTCTCTCTCCTTCTCTCTCTCTATCTCTTTCTCCTTTCTCTCTCTCTCCCTCTCTCTATCTCTCTCTCTCTCACACACACACACACACGAATATATTAATTATAATGTCTAAATTTACATCCTACAAAATAACGTTAGTAATAACCAAGAACACGCGATGCAGGATGCACGCCTCTCAGTATTGGTGGTGGTGGTGGGGGGGGGGTAATCCCGTCTCAATTCTTCCGTGTATTTTATGAGATATTTATCAAAATGTCCAAACCTCATGAAAATGTGTATTTACGTTTATTAGAAACGACTAGTGAAGAACTGATGATAGCCACTTCCGTTAATATGTAGGGTATATCCTATTGGTATGTGTGTGTATATATATAGGCTGTCTCTATATGTATGTATAACTTGCTATCGGGCTTCTAGTGCCAGCCGAATACAAGCAATGTGTAGTAGCGCCAATGTTATGTAACCATATGGTCTGGTAAAATAACCTACATTCTAAACAGAACGTATTAAAAAAAAGGTTTGAGGTTTTTCTTGGTTGTGTTTTAAAGAGAAAAATATTAAAGGTCGGATTATGGAGACGTACAATATAATGATTTGTTTAAGATTTTAATAATTTGTTTAATTTTACACCAGAAACAATCGTGACATCAATGGCGATTTCTTTTTTGTAGAAATTTAAAGAATATGATAGAACAGTTGACATTTACAAATATTAAAAAAAAAATTATTTAATAATATATGATGATATAACGCGAACATAATCTTAACCCCTCTCATGCAACTCTTCCGTAGGATTGCGCATGGATGAGTTTGGGCTTTCGATCGTGATGAATGAACATTTTCAGTGACAACAGGGTCAATTAAAATATATTGTACTTTCAAAACCTGAGAGCAGCTATTGGACATTTTTCGACGTGCTTGTTTAGCGGCGACTCTCGCGTTGGATTTAGAAACACGACGATCTAAATGGACGCTTTCAGTCACCATATATTTTGATTAAAGGACAATATTGGCATAATATCACTTGTAGTCTCGCATATCAAGTCTTATTAATATAATATTTATTACATGTATTCTTGTGTAGTCTTGCTTAGCAAGTCTTACTAAAGGGCAATGTTGGTGTCAGTAATTATCACTTATAACTGGTTAAACACGTTCCAAATATAATTTTAAAGCAGAGATCATTGCTACGATAGATGCGTAATGAAGATTTCAACAAACGGAAGTGACGAAGAAAAGGGAAAACACGAGTTATCCTTCTATATAATTGACTGAATTGACTAGTGATAACAGATACACGGGCGAATTTCTGCTCACTAATAATTCCTTTGAAGACCAACAGTTTTTATGTGAGACTGTGAGGGGATATCTGACAATTCAAAACAGTAATTGACTGTCACTAGATAAGAGAAAATGAGAAAAATAGAAATAGTCCGTGAATTACCAAGTTTATATTAAGTATATCATGAATAAAAACATCTATGTATTTATCATAGCAATGATCTCTGTGTTAAAATTATATTTTGAACGTGTTTAACCAGTTATATGTGATACTGACTGACACCAATACTCCCGTCAAAAGTCAAAACCTAGCAACTCACTTTCTTTTTTTTTTATCAAAATTGAGATAGGACCAATATTTTGATTTTGTAAGTAGTTACACCCATGATACAACTTAGCAACGTCTTTCATTTGCCTATAAGTATGCCACAGAAAAACCTAGTAACTTAAAATAGTCAAATCAATGGATAAGCTGGGGTTTAATATTCATTCATTTCGTTTACCTTTGTTTTCTCAAAATAAGAAAAACGTGAGTTACTAGGTGCTACCTTTTGACGCGAGAATTTTGTCCTTTTAAAAAGCATTACTCTCTGTTATGATAACTATAAACAATCTACATGGTCTACTGATCATGCTTTAAACAGAAACGTCTTTATACCAATACGTAATACACTATAGAAACGTCAACAATGGTTTATTTTGTGTGTTTTTTCTTTAAATAATACATTATAGAAACGTCAACAAGGGTTTATTTTGTGTGTTTTTTCTTTAAATAATACATTATAGAAACGTCAACAATGGTTTATTTTGTGTGTTTTTTGTTATCTTTAAATAATATCTTTATTCGAGATATCTGTGATTGGGATTTTGTGGACAATCTTTGCCAATCAAAAACCCTCCACCTTAAATAATTTTATAATTTAATACGAAAGAACAAAGAGGTGTTTATACATGATTAAACTGGCAAACACATACATAAGAGAACAAATGAAAATGTATGTATGGTATATATTATAGGTTATAGTTATACATACACATACACATAACAACGGGTCTAATATATTCTGGTTAACTACAGATTTATTGAATTTTACAAACCTTCATATCTCTATAAAATAACGTTTGGAAACTTTAATTTAAATATATTTTTATAGACCGAGGGAGTGGGGGGGGGGGCATCAAATGGTAATATAATTTAAATATATTATAATATCTAAGAGCGAAATAACTAATTAACTTATCCAGACCATCATCAACTCTCGATGTCATCGCTAGCCTGCGATATTTATTGGATTGGAATCCGATCTGCTGCTCAACGCTCATTGAGCCGCTGTACGGGCAAATTAGCGGAGAAAGTTCATCCAGATTTTCCGGCGTGGTTTCGTCTTGTCGGGGCCTGACAAGGACAGCTGTCTGGTCGTTCTGGGGTGGGACGAAAACCCTAGGTCCTGAGTATACATTGGCGTGCTGGAATTCGATATAAGAGTACGTCGTAGTGCTTTTGCCCGGGAAAAATTTCCCTCATGATATACTGTATGGCGTATTCCGTCTTCATTAGCCCAGTCTGAGCAAACCAGTAGGACGTTAAACCCCATTTCATTTCATTTCATTTATTTCCAGGCAAATTGCCTTCATAGCACACTGTACGCTGTACGCTTGTAATCCTTAGCTCGGCCTTTGCAGAAGAGTGAGACATTAAACTCATTATATTTCTGCGATTGTTTTGAGTTTTCTGTCTGTTTGGGTTCCATGGTAGTATATATTCCTGTGTGGTATTATAATTAACTGTGATTAAATTACTTCATGTTATTATATCACGAACCAAATGATTTCTCCATCACGCCGGTGTTATATCACATAGCACATTCGAGTCATTAAAGCTTCCGTCATGATTGCTTATCTAAGATATTATATAACGTTAGAAGATATACAATATCAAACGCTACCAGATAAACATCTAGTTTAAAAGTCTGGTATGAAATTTAAAGCTCGTACATGAGTAAATACGCTAATGGTAAATAACGGAATACCGTAATGATAGAATACCCCCAAAAGTAAATAACGGAATACCGCAATGATAGAATACCCCCAAAAGTAAATAACGGAATACCGCAATGATAGAATACCCTCAAAAGTAAATAACGGAATTTATCATAAATATACTGTAATTAGTCGTTGTACCTATAGTTTGTTTGAAATTGTACATATATTATACACCCAAACCAGAAAGAAACAAATTAATATTTAAGCCTACTTGGCGTGTTTTGTATCCTATTCTTTATATTGTATAATAGTCTCCAAATAAATACCGTTTAAAGGCTCAATACCAATCTTGTTGTAACTGAATAATATGTCCCAATCTTTATTCTGGCCAACAAATTGTACTATTTTACAGTATTCCAATTAATTGATGATACAAATTTCATCTTAACACACCTAATTTAAAAAAAATTGGAAAAATTCAACTAAATGATTTGAAAAACCTAACGTAAACCTTTTCAAATGTGACATGGATTTAAAAATATTTTCGAACCCTCTGGACAAGTAAAATAGGATGTAATGGATAATTTACAAAACAGGAGGACACTAACACATCTAGTACTTAGAATAAGGCTATTTTTTATTTTCTGATGCTGTTAAGCCAGCAAGAGTGTTATTGTCCCTTTAAACCTGATTTATAATGTCTATATTTCATATACAGGTCAAAATTCTATGGAGAGAGAGAGACAGGGACAGAGAGAGGTGGGGTTTAACGTCTACTCGACACAAACTAGGTCATTCCGGGACTAAAACAGGGTTGAATTTTATTTCAATAATTCGCTTGCGCGTAGGGGTCTTTAGCAGTGGGAGGAAACCGGAGGACCAGGAGAAAACCCACGATGTCGGACAGGCGACCCTACTCATTGTCACGTACAACTTGGGAATCGAAACCACGCCAGTTGACTCAATGACAGACCTTATGACACAGCACGAACGTGCTAACAATTCGCCCCCCCCCCCTCCAATTATATGGAATACAATTACTGCTTATTAGGAATAATATCAATAAGTAGGTATTTCATTCCATAGAATAGCGACCTGTATATTCCAGTTCCATTACT